TTATTTTCAGTGAAGTTCTGCTCCTTTGTCACAGGATTCTTTAGGGAAACAGGTCTTGAAGAAATGTTTGCCAAACTTGGAAGATTTCTTTGATACATATTAGAGACTTTGGATGTGGCAGTTATTGTTTCTTCTTATAATCTTGCTATCTCAATTGCCTCATCCATAGATGCAGGTTTAAGAACCCTCACAAAGGACTTCAAAGATGATTTTAAACCTCCAATAAAACAGTCTAAGAAGTATTTGTCGGACTGTAAGTGCGATTTCTTAATCAAGCTCTTGAGTTCCTCAAATTCATCAATATACTCATCAATTGAGGATTTTTGTTGGCATCTATTAAATCTTTCCACCACATCCCTTTCATTTTCATCTCTAAACCTAGCTGATAAATCTTCTTCAAATTCCAGCCAACTTACCCCTATTTTATCAACCAAATAATTGGTTACCCAAACTTTCGCCTTACCAGACATATTCAAGGCAACTATATCAACTTGTTGTTCTTAAGGTATACGACACAATGCAAAATACCTTTTACATTTCTTAATCCACATGCTACTATTATGGCCATCAAAATAAGGAATTTCAAGTTTAGGAATGTACCCCAACTGTTTAGCATGATTTCCACCTTTGTCCGCAAAATTGTGAAGATTTGGTGAAATAGGAGAAGATTCCTTATCGACTTTCTTCTGCAGGTCCACCACAATCCCTACCAGCTGTTGAATTTGATGTTGAATATCTTGTTGGAACTGCATCTACGATTGAGTAAGAGCTTGTAATTGCTCTTCCATAGCTTCAATGGCGACTTTCGCAAGGGAACGAGGCGCCAGAATGAAACTCGGTAGAATTCAAGCGGAAGAGGGAGATGATGATTGCGAATCTCTGATACCAATGTAACAGGAGTCTTGCTCAACTGTTTAGGGAAGATGATCGTATACAAGAGCCGAGCTCAATTGTTAACGAAGGAAGCAGTAAAATACGTAAAATAAGGAATAACAAGCAACTGAATTTTATTGATGGTTTACTCTCTTATTTATACAATCAGAATAGCTAGTATATACAGTTATCTCAACAACCTCTAACTAAATAGCTAACGTCTTAACTTTAGATATAACTAAAGTTACAATTTTCTATTTCACACTTTCACTTATTTCTTCTTTAACTCTTTGTGTAACCCAGAAGTCCAAAAGCAAGATGCCTTAAATCAGATTAAAAGTAACATGATCAGTGATTACTTTTTATAGATCATATCCATTGCCCTACCTATATCATTTACGAAAAAAGCTATTAATTGGATGCACCAGAAAAGCATCATCCAGTATCATCATAACAGGTGTTGGAGCAAATGAAAACGCTAATTTTCTCAACAAACAAATTACACTATGCTATTAAACGAAGCGAAAACCTTCATGAAATAAGTTGTATTTAACGAAATGAATTAGTCCTCCACTTTCGAATTATCGAATATTTGAACCATTAGCTTTTACACAAAGTTTAAGAGAAGATGAAAAGGTAAATGTAATTATGCATTTTAATGAAACTTTTACTACATCTATTACATTTTATGTCTATTATTTTGGTTTGATATAATTATTAAGAAAATGGTTGAAAAGTAGAAAATTGTGAAATGTTGTGGACCATGTTTTTTTTCTTTCAAAAAACACTTATTTTTAGATAATTTAACAAAAGTAAGATAGAAAAATGTGATGAATAAAGTGCTATATAGGAAAAACATTGTAAATATTTCTACCGATTAAAATAGACAGAGAAAACATTCAAATAGGAATGGGCAGTTTTTTTTTTGAAGCATGAGCAGATTTTCTTTGTGTACGTAATAATAATCAAAACTAGAAAACACAAAACACTACTACAACAATGACAAAACTAGTTACAATTATGAAAATTAAACTTAAATTACAAAAAGTAAAGAGTATACGAACCAAATTAAATAGCTTGAGACTAAAAAATTTAAAAATACTCAATACATATATGTTTGAGTTTTATTATTATTATTAATTAATCAATTTAAGAAAAGAAAAAATGATTAGGCCTTAATTCTCTGTTTTCACCGAAAGTGGCGGACAGAACTAAAGTTGCCAGTTCATTTTCATGTTAATAGTAACTGCATGTCGTCGAAACTCCGTAGTAATTAAAATAAAATTGCGCTGATCCCCAAGTTCCAAATTCATTATCTTTGAACAAATTAAGCTTTTTCTAACAAAAGACTATAAAGATGAGGTCACTTTCAACGGTTGTTTACCCTTTTTTTCTCCAATCTCATGATGTTAGTTATTATCTTTACTTCTCACTTTTTTAAACAGTCAATTTGTATTGAAATTTGAAGATAAGAAACAACAATCTAAGCTAACTACGGAGTATTTACTAGACTATAGACCAACACTTTCAAGGGAACCGCATGATTATGCCATAGTGCAAATTGTAAACCACTATATATACTATCGTATATTAAGAAGTCATGATTACATTATAAATTAAATTTTATAATGCTAGGTTATTAGTACGATGGAATAATAGCATAATACTCTAACGCGCGAGTGTGTATAGTACTATCAAGGTAGTTTCTGAAAATGTTTGTATCTAGGCATAATTTCAACTAGGAAATCCTGTCATCTTATCATCTTACTATAATATACGGAGTATATACTACTAATAATTTGAAGAAGAAAATATAGTGACATTACTGACATACCAAGAAAGTGTTGATATGTATAGCACAAAAAGACGAATTATCATTTAAATCGACATCTTCATTAGCAGTGTGTACATTTTTATTGTCGTTTTCATTTTCTCTCATTTTTCAAATCAACATTTACAATCTCATTTAATTTTCTTTATTTGTCTGAGAGTTGTTTGAAAAAAAAGAAAATATTATTGTCTCCTAGACCGGTCTTCAATAAATACATGCATGAAACTAAAAAGAAATTATACTCACCACATCCCTTTTTATTTGGTCAAAATCGTCTTTTAAGTTTTAACTGATTACATATTTAGTCAATCAATATGATAATGATATGTGAATGTTCTTTGTTAAAAATACTATCATAAAAATATAAATTTATTAAGTTTCACATAAACATACAATAGTATATGATAAAACAATTGATCAAAGTTTACCATTTTTTATTGGAAAAGTCAAAGATGCTATGTAGTGAATAAAACGGTCATAGGCCATATATATATATATTGATATAGTTTATTTGGCTAGTTGGTGCTCTAGTACAAGATTTCAAAATCAACAAGAAATACCCTATTAACTACTCCGTATTTGGTTCATAAATTCTTGAATACTTTAGTCAATCCTAAAGTTTATACTAGTATTTAGTAATACTATTGCAATTTTTGTGATGCCTTGGTTTAAGCACATAATATGTTCCTGCCACTAATAAGGCACTAAAGGTAGCTCTGCAGCTAGATCGACTATATATGGCTTAATTTTTAACGATATTATAATAAGTAGTTGTTGGGATATTGGGTCCAGGCCCAATATTCCCGGCCCATAGTATGGGGGAGCCAAGAGAAAACGTAGGCCCAAAGCAGTACAGACTCGCTCGGCATTCGGCACAAATCTTCTACTTGGAGTATTTCAGGAAACACTTACACCCAAACACTCATGGCGGGGTCCCGCACACCGAACGCCCCACCCGAACGGGTAGTCAGCAAGTGAAGGCCGCATTTAATGCTAAAGCATGACAGCAGCAAGTGGAGGCATGGGCGCATACGTGGCAGGGGTCACAGCCTACCGGATTCAGCCACGTGTCCAGCTTTCCCATCTCCATTTTAGTATAAATACCTGCATTAAGAACATTGTAAGAGGTTAGCATTTTAATACTCAGAGCTTAGCAAGTAGAATTATCTCTTTTATTCTTGTATTCCGGTACTTACCGACCGTTCAGGTAGTCCAGTGTAATCGCAGCATTACTGAATACGAATTAGCTCCTGAGTTGAGTAATATCCACTGTTTTATATTATATACACTTTCCAGACCAACCCAACATCCTTATAATATCCAAAGCTTGTGTTGGGCTTTCGGATCTTCGGGACAAAACCCCAACAGTAGTATAACTCAATTTGTTCCTAATTACAAATTGGGATAATGGTTTTCATCGAAATGTCACATATTAAAAACTGACTAAAAGCATGTAAAATAACCTTCAATTCACGTTTTGAAAATGGACTATAAATAAGATATTTTTATGAAGCCATGATTCCATGAAGGAGAAAATATAGTTAGAATCTTCAAGAAAGACAATGGTTGCCCAAAAAATTGAACATGCATTGATATATATATGTTATTTATCTAGTTATGCATTCACCAATTTTTGCCATTAGCAGAATACATTCTTCGTATTTACGACTAATTAAGGATGTTTAAGAAAATAGCTGACCAGGCGCAGTCTTTGATGTATAATACTGTCGTATCAAGCAGACAAAAATTAAAGATTGAGCATAACAACATTCCTGTTTGAATTTATCAAAAAGAAAAAAAAGACATTCTCGTTTGAATAATCATGAAGAAGAGTGGGAATATTACGGAGTCCGGAGTATGATTAACCTTATAAGTTATAACCACTTGGGCAAATGATTTTGTTTGACGTTCCGCATCTATCCCATGTGAAATGACTACATAAAAATCAACAAAAACGGTCACAAGTGAAATTGCAGCCAAATAAAGATGTGTTTCTTAAATAGGTAGTCATCAATCACTACAAAAACAACAACTATTCACACGGACTTGATAGACATCTTTGGCACGAAAAAATATGTAGGGTAAATGCAAAATTTGCGTCAACTATGTAGTACGGAAACTCTCGAGAAAAAGTATGTGTTCACTTCAGACACTATGAAAATTCTCCAAACAAGTGTTTTTTGAGCAAAAATTGACGTTTCATGTTTCCTAATGATTTTTGCGTTTCCGTATAACATAGCGTGCTAATAGTATTTTGTCACCAGCTATTTGTAATGTCTGCCAAAAACATGTTATGATCCGTGTCAAATTCGGTCGGTCTGTCCATTCCAATAATTACTTTGTGATAGTTAGAACAACAAAATAGATAGACCCATTCAAAATATGTTGTTCACATTCTCGATACTTCATTTCGATGTATCCAGAAATGTGTTACATTGGCGCAAGATGCACCGTTACGCTATTTCGTATTCCGACTTGATAAAGACAGGAACAACTAGGAAAAAATGTGTCCAAATACAAGAATTTGTTCTATCAAGTTTCGTCCCGATAATGATAAGATGTTGCAGAAAAGAGTTGTGAAAATACAGTACTGCCCTTTCAACCCTTAGCCACACTTTCTAAATTGTTGAGATAACAATATTTTTGGCCTGCTTAGTTGTGGGTGGAATGGCATGACATTCTTTGCAAGAGGATACAATTGACCTTAATATCCTCCGACCAAACCACGGCGGAGATCCACTTCCTTCATCATCACTTTCCTGCTTAACTTCATGACTATTATGCCCTTTCCCCAGCGAGACAGATCCGGGCCGCTTATTCCTGAGATGAACCGGCCCATGGGCCGGAGCAGCCATGAACTGCGATTTCTTAGAAGCAGGAGGGACGAGTTGCGGCTTAGAGCTCGGCAGCGGCCTGTTGGAAGAATGGGCCCATTTACTTCTATTGTTAACATTAATAATAGCTAATCGTCTGATATTAACGTTAAAAGCCGACTCGCCGCTGGCGCTGGTTCTGGCGCTGCCGCCGGAGCTGCTGCCGCTGTTGCTCCGGGATGACATCATCGAGTCCTTGCCGCTGCTGACGCTGCTCGTCGATCGCGAATACGAGAATCCATCCGTGACCGCCGCTGGTTGTCCGGACGACGGGAAGTTGTGGGGCATTAGCTTTCCGTTGAAGAAGAGCCGGTCGGCCGGCGAGTTGGGGGAGGCTTCCGGCGAGGTTGAAATGCACCCGAATTCAAATTCCCCGTCTTCGGGTTCCTTTTCCGGCGTGCCCATGATCGGGAATGAGAATTTGTCGCCGGAACTGCTCTTCTGGCGGCGGTTTTCCATTCTGTCAGTATACGATGATTGATTTCGGTCTTTATATAAATGTAAATCCGGTGGGAAAGCCAAACATATGATATGATTATATAGCATGATTTATCATCCTCTGCTTTTATAGAAAAGGATGGATTCAAATGCCAAAGTGAAAGTTGATGGTACGAACAGGATAAGAGGAACTTGCGGCTTTTATTTGTCCCTCAAAAAGCAAGGCGACACTATGGGATCTGTTCTAGCTAGGAACCTGAAGGGAATGATACACAAGTTTGATTTTGTGAAATAGGCAACTTTGTTGAGGCTTTCTTCATGAGTAGTGTGACTATTGGTCTCAACCTTACTGGCCTACATCATATAGTGGTCTGAAATGCCAGCTCTTTGTGACAAATGAAGAACCCGTTTGGAAGCACAAAAATCGACTGTTCTGGCTGATTCTGCTGAAATTTATGAAGTTCTGGATGAAGTGGCTACATTGACTGATTTTGTTGATTTAAGAAAAAATTATTTTTAAAATATATTTTATTAATAAAATAAAGAAAAAATTATATGTAAAAATAGTTATAATGGTCATCTACAGTAACTTCAGCCAATACAGTCAGAAAAGTACTTTGGCACATCTACTCAAATACTCTAATATTAGCTCCCGCCCCTTAAAGTGGAGAGCTCCCCTCCAACTTCTAAAAATTGATTCTATGAGCAACTTAGTACTCAAAAGTACTTTGGCACATCTACTCAAACACTCTATTATGAGCTCCCGCCCCTTAAAGTGGGGAGATTCTCTTTTGTTACAGATCAGGAAAAGGATGACACCCCATCCCTGAGGGCCCCCCAACATCGACCGGACGACACGATGTGAGATGTAAATTGGACTTTAATCGCAATCTGACAGATAGAGAGTGAGGCTCTGTCCCCGGTACTTGCAGAAGCCCTATGCATTTTTCAGCATAGTAACCCCTTATCGCAGTTGCTGGGATTCGAACCCAAGATCTAACCCTTGTAACACTCGCTCGTTACCAGTTGAGCTACGCCCACCAGTAATAATTCATGTCATGATTTTCTTGATTTGACCTAAACGAAGCTTGTGCAATTATATATTGCCTATTTTATTCATGAGTTTTTGTTCTTACGATCCTTATTTAATTTGTTATTGTCGTGGGATAAAGGATTTGATTTGTGAAAATGTCTAGGTGCAACTTGCGAGTACTTTCATGAGAGTCATGTCCTACTCCAGATGAAAGAACAATATTGATTTCATTTCGCCTCAAAGCTGAACCAAACTTTAAAACTATCACTCGCTACACACAGACACACAGTTGCAGACGAAAAATCCGGATAGTTTAAAATAGTACTCCGTAAACAAAACCAGAACTATAAATAATACTCCGTATTACTAAAATATTGCTAATAATAAATTCGACAAAGATGTGACTATAAATTATTATCAGTAAGTTTTAAAATCACTATGAAGAAAAAAACTAAAATATGATTATAGTTATTAAAAGTTACTTGGTCACACTTTTGTCTATTATTTTTATTTTGATTATGTATTTAGAACTATTTCACAGTCATTTATCATTTATATATACTCCCTCCGTTCTTTTTTTATGAATCCTTTTTTTCTTTTTGGGACGTTTTTTTATTTGTTCTCCTTTCCCTAGAAAGTTTTTGAGAAAATACTCTCACTTTTATTACTTTTACCCCACTTACTTTTTACAAACTACTTTCTCTTTCCTACTTTACCATCACTTTACTCTTTTTAATACACTCTCTTTGCTAGTTTATCATTACTTTACTCTTTTTAATATACAATCTTTCCTACTTTATCATTTACCCTACACACTCTATACTTACCCTACTACTTTATTATTAAAATCCGTGCCAAACCCTAAGGCTAACCGCAACGTTGCCCGTCAATAAATCTAATCTCACACCACTTTATATGTATTCCCTCAGTCAATTCAGTTTTTCTCTGCAACCCAGCACTATCAATATATTCACTCAACACATTTTTTTATGTAAATGCATAAATCCTTACTTGTTTCTATTACACATCACTAATGTGATAATTTTATTTTTACCAATAATTATTATTTAAAAAGTCACACATTCCGATGTAAAAAAAATGTGAATTAATATTTTTGTAAGTATAAAAAATGCCCACTTGAGTAGTTGAGTTTAATTTGGAATAAATTTAAAACTATTGAATATACTATTGCTATATTATTAATTTATCATTTCATATACTATTACTAGGTGAATATAAATTATTTGAGTAATAATATTGTTATATCATTAATTTTAGAACTTATATGCTTAAGAAAAAATTTAGGCCTGAAAATCTCTCCATCAGATAAAACCTCATATTTTTTTATAAAACGTTATATATGACATATTGATGTCATATGAAAGTTCATAAAAAATTATGAATTTTGATATATTTTTTATAAAAATTGAATTTCAAATAAAAAAGTTACACTATTTTTTTTTTACAAAATTGGGATTTTAATTTAATGTGGGCCCCTCACATTTCTTAACCTGCGGCTTGCTCCCTTCCTCTCTCTTGGGGCGATCCACCGCCTATATTCCCCTCCCATGAGGTTCTCCCAATCCACAATGGCTCCTCACTCTACTTTTTTTTTTGGGTTGCACCATTTTTGGAGTCAAAACTTCAAATATGGGGTTTTCACTCCTTGCATTGCGGATAACTTAAGAGGACTAATAAAAAAGAAATGAGGTAATATATATAACCTAAAAGGAGGACCATACATATTCACTTCGAAAAATAAGATTGGAATGCAAGACTCGGAGTATTATTCAATTTATTTATTTCACTTACTTAATTCGGAGAATCACATGACGTGTGTAGCCAATTTAGTTATTATTTACATATTTTTTATTTTTTACTTATCTATGAGCAGTATTATTCTAATTCCTCAATTCGCTAATCTCAATTCATTTTTGTCATATTTAATCTATTTTAATCCTGATCTGAAACAAGATTATCTGATCTTATAAGTAAATGTAAAATCAGTTACTCCACAGTTATTACTTAAGAAATATAAAATCTATACGTTATTTTCTGGAAAAATCTATCAATGCACTTATATGTTTACTTATATTCTTAATAATTGTTAAAATATTTGTTGTTATAAAACAATAAAACACAATATAAGGCTTTGGACTACTCCTCCTATCGAGTTGACCTTTTAGGATAGATGCTGAGTCTTAACATGGTATCAGAGCAAATTCCAGTTGTGGTTTGACTGCTTGTTTAACACCCATGATCACGAGTAGCTTGTTAAGGGTCTGTTTTGCCCATTTCTATACCCCGATATTGTCCAGCCCGGTTTGGACTGAGGGGACGTGTTAAAGTATTTGTCACACACTGAAAAGCTATAAAACAATAAAACACAATATAAGACTTTGAATTTCTCTTCCTATCAAGTTGATCTTTTAAGATGGAAGCTCATGTCTTAACAATAACAATGGTTGTCAATTTGTCATTAGAATTAATTCAATGTAGCAAAAAAGAAAAACTGTGTATTTTTCGTATGGATAAATATGTACGGAAATGAAATGAAATATTTCAAATAAAGTTTTAAAAAAAAATTACACTAGAAGCAAATTTTGCTAAATTGTATTCCATGCATGGAATGAATATAGTTATATCCATTTTTTAGGATCCGGAGCCTCTGCCTTGCTTTAAAGCAAGGCAGGGTGCCTGGCTCTTCGGGGCCGTTCGATCGGGAATTAGACGGCCAAAGATCTTGGACTCCACCCCTTCACCGATCCCGAGATCCTCCTTGTCGCTTCCCCGCCGTCGGATGCCGCAAGGCACTCTGCCTTATGGCAGAGGATCCTGATCCATTTTTTTATGCGGCATCCCCCAACTAGCTAATGGGATCCTGGTTTTCTGTCCGGCTTTGGGAGCCAAGTAGGATGCGCGGCTTTGATAGTCACATGATTCAATTTTGATAGTCTCGCAGCTCTCCTCCTCTATTGCCACTGTCTTTGGATGCCGTAAGACCATTTGGAGTTGTGGAGAGTCAAAATGTCAAAAATGGATTCCGTCTTTATGAAAATAGTGTTTTGACTCCTATTTCTTTGCATCCCAGCACCGTCAATAAAATACACTCCGCACATTTTTTACATATCAATTTAGTAAAACATTAATTAAATTATTTTATGTAATATTTTTCTTTTAATTTAATCCTTGAATAATTATGAAATAAAAAAACACATTTCGATGTAAAAGTAAATAAATTTCATTAATTTTTTTAACATTTTTCGGTTAACAAAAAATGAACTTAGTTCAAGTAAAGTTCGATTACGGAATATTAAGTTATTTGTGAAGGCTACATGAATTAAAAAATTGTGTTTTGTATTTTTTTGGGATCATGAAAACATCAATAGTTAAAATTTCAGATTTTTTTCTATTTTATATATTACATATTGGTGTCATATGAAAGAGTATAAAAATTATGAATTTTGATATATTTTTTTCTAAATTTGATTTATGAAAAAACAAATTATAACCATTTTAAGAAAGATGGGGTTTTTATTTTATGGGCCCACTAACTACTCACCACTCATGATTCCTTTCTTTTTGGCAAAGTAACACTTCCACCAGAGTCAATCGGCCGGCTAAAATTGGACTCCTCCCTCCCCATCTCCATTTTTAGCCTCCTATAATGCTCTCCAATGTAAGAAGTTAGGAGTCTAAAATCTCCATTTTTAACATTTTAGACTCCTAATACCTTACCACTACAAATGGTCTAAGACAACTTTGTTGTTGTGCGGCAGAACATCCAAATCTCAATTAGTGGCCACTTACCCCTCGGGCAGTGGTTCCCCACTACAATGGGTATGGTGTGATTGTTGTACTACTTACTACTTAGAGCGCGTTAGTTGACCCATGTTTTCGACTTATAAGGTTTATTAGCTTAGTCATTTTTTAATAAAACAACTTTTGATTTCACGCGTTGAATTATGTTATAATAAAAATAAGTATGATTAAAGTTATTTTTCTAACTGAATTGATTGAACTTACTGTAGATGATCATTTTAATTAGCTATTTTTCATCCAAGTTTTTCTTTATGTCATCAACAAAATAAATTTTAAACACAATTTTTTAATAATTCAGCTGATTCAACTAATTCATTCATTTCTGCCATAACATAATCAACTTTAACTGAATAATCTGGTTGTGTAAATATTAATGTTACCAAATGTGCTCTTACTATTCTATTGTTACATCTATTTTTATTCTATCGTTACCATGCATGTAGTATTTCTCTTTTTCTATTTACGAATGTATATATATGCTA